ACCTATTCTTCATTCCCTCTCTCTGGTCATCATCATCATCTCCCCCGTTCTTCCCAATCTTGGTATCCCCCACCCCCCCCACCTTCCAAGCGCTTCCCTATCCCACTCTCCAACATTCACCATTTTCTTACCTCAACACGTTCTCCTCGGGGTCTCCGTTAACCGGCTCCTCCCTTTATCCGGTACACTCTACAGATGCCTTCTTCCGTACCCCGATTTTCATTATCCATTCACTCTTCACACCCTAAGACACAGCACGTTTCTCATTGTACCTTCCTTACAGTAGTTCGTTTTCATATACCTGGGTGATGGTAACTCAAGGTAAAGACACCAGACTGACCTGTGATCAAATTACACCTACAGAAGCCTCTGGTAATCCAACCTACCTGTAGTCATAACAGGACTTTGTTACAGCTGCAGCGCCATAAAGAATCGAACGAGTCCAACTTTGGAATAAATATTATGCCCAAACGTTTCTTCTGAACAGTCACGTCGACTACACACAAAAGTTATCACTATTCATCAAAGCCAAAAGGTATCATTATAACCACCAAGTTAATCATCAAAGTACAAAACTAACACTGTTCAAGCATTACAATAACGTTAATTTCTTCACTACGTGTTAATACGTAATTAAAATATCTATAGACAGACAGAACGATTACGATGAAACTAGATGAGTTAGGTGTTGGCTGGCCATAAATAAACTAATTTAAATTCGGAGATCGAAGACAAAGGTCCCCCCCCCCCCACAAAATATACACACACAAGCAGAGGACCAATATACAAATTCTATCATCATATCATTAAGGTTAAACCATAATCACAAGTGTGTCTGTGGTCCTCCCAGCAGCAAGGTGGAGGACTGGTAGTGTGGTATGTCCAGCCAAGTCCTCAGGGCTGTAAACACCTCACGTCCTTCCTGTCTCCACGACGCCCCAAGGTCACCCACCAGCCTGACACTTGGTTGGACGGACTCCCTCATTTCCACAACACCTCACGGTATTAGTCAAACTATCGGTGAAAGCTTATTGACTTTTATTACAAATTCTGGGAATAAATCAATGTATCTAGATAACGACAATAAGGCACCTGGTTTAATGGTGGTTTGGAGGTAAAGGAACAGCGCGTTTTTCTTTTTTTTTTCTTTAAAGAGAAAAAGCTTTTAGATGATGACCGGAAAAATTATGTTCAATTCCTTCCCTGGCGATGAGGTAAAGATGATACAACGGGTAGTGATGAATACAGGCGTAAGTCAAGGTAAAAGACACGATCGTCATTACCACTATCCACCAATCTACGGATCCATCACTATTACCACTTCTGCGGCCACGACCAAACCCACCCGAGTGATACACCAAGGAAACTTTCCAGTCAGCTTGGTGGGACAGACCCAAGATGGACCCCGCACACCCAGAGGTTGTCAGGTCATGTAACGCGGCGTGTCAGATGCAAAAGTTAACTAGGACAGGAGTGGGAGTCAATGATGTCAGGTAAGGTTACTCCACTGTACAACAATAGCGGCTAGCCATGCTGACCTCCACCTGACATTACGTTGAGAAAGCGAATTGTTAGACATTTACAGCAGATAGCCATATAAACTGAAAGGTGGGGTCCTGTTCACTTCTTCACTAGCTCTATACATTAGGCCAAAACACAAAAGGTGATTATTTTATATACGGTTCCAACACACGTCATTAATTAGTACTTTTAAAGAATACCTTTTTATCTACCAGATATCAACACACACATAACATATAACAACAGGCTTTTGACATAACCTTTAAATATTCGATGCCGTGAATCCTACTGCTCCTGAACACTGTAGCTACTTCACCATAAGAATAAACAAAGTTATCATTCACTTAACGTCTCAAGTGAGCCTACATAAACGATCTAGATACTGGGATCAGCAGTGACATAAGCAAGTTTGCGGATGACACCAAAATAGAGCGGCAGATTAATTCTTGGCAGGATGCAAATGCACTACAGGAGGATCTAAATAAACTGCATGGGTGGTCTGAAAAATGGCAAATGAAATTCAACACCAGCAAGTGCAGCATACTTAATATTGGAAGAACAAATACTGTCAATGTATACAGCCTTAACATCAACCTAGAGAAGTCGGCTTGTGAAAGAGACCAAGAGGTACTTGTAAGCCCGGACCTACGGCCTAGAAAACAGTGTGTTAATGTTCGAAATAAGGCAAGCAGAGTATTGGGTCTTATATCTAGAAGTGTAAGTAATAAGAGCGCAGAGGTCATATTACAACTATATCTTGCGCTAGTCAGGCCGCACCTCGATTATGCGGTTCAGTTCTGGTGCCCTTATTATAGAATGGATATCAATTCACTAGAGTCGGTGCAGCGAAGAATGACGAAAATGATTCTGGGACTTAGAAACCTTCCATATCAGGATAGGTTAAAGAAACTAAACTTGCATTCCCTAGAAAGACGAAGAGTGCGGGGGGATATGATAGAAGTATTCAAGTGGGTGAAAGGAATCAATAAAGGGGATATAGATAAAGTTCTTATAATATCCGAGCAGGATAGGACTCGAAGCAACGGATTTAAGTTGGATAAGTTTAGGTCTAGGAGATAGGAAGGAACTGGTTCACAAATAGGGTGGTGGACGAGTGGAACAAGCTTAGCAACTTTGTAGTAAGTGCTGGAACGCTGGAAAGTTTCAAAAGGAGGCTAGATAGATTCATGGATGATAGAGAGTGGTAGTAACTCTCGACAGGAGCTGCCATGCACAGGCCAACCGGCCTATTGCAGACTCCTTATTTTCTTATGTTCTTATCCCTCCTTTCCCCTGAAGACCGAGATAAGTCGATCAATATAACCACCGGCATGTCAAAAATAACAAACGGAAAACTATGTAATAAAGGTGTCGTAACTCTTGGGTAATAGTCGGGACGATACTGTTGTCCCCTAACTACAAGTATAAGTGCCAATACTAAGAGTCACAGCGGATATAATTTTGAAACTATTGGGATTTTGAGATATAACCACGGTGCATTTATTATAACTTGACGATCGAATAAATTTAATTATGTTACGCTTTGTACTTTAGTTATAAGTTAGTCAATCACAAGCATTCTTGCGTCACCGGTTACAGTAAAAACAAAAACCAACGTACGAATCCACGAGAATCCGACTCCTGTTGTTTATCTCGGTTAGTGAGTTATGTATCAGCAACCCACACTACCCCAAGTTTGATGGTACCGTAATGTGGCTTAAAGAGTAACTCGATAATACGCCTACGAACAATGTCACAAGGTTAATGAAGGGGTTAAAGCAAACACGGTGAGTATACATATTGAGACAATCACATATACCATCCGACCCCCCCCCCCACCACCACCTTCCCCCGACCGAAACTAAAATACAAAAGGTTCAACAATTGAGTATCAATGACTTGTGTTTTCTTATTGAGCGGAAACCATTTGTATACACAGAGACGGAAAACAACATGGCTATATCTCCCTGAACCTTTTCGATACTCAGGGGGACAACAATGGAGAGGGTAGGGGAGGTGGAACATGAGGCGGGGGAGGTGGTGCGGGAGGCAGGTAAGATAATAGAGGTGTGTGTGTGTGTACATCCGGTGGTCGGGTCACCCAGGGTCATGGTCACCACTACCTTGTCCCTCTTAAAATATCCTAAAAGTAATACAAATCCTGACACTCACTCAATATCCTTACACTATTACTAAAAAAATCCTTATTATTTAGTTTCTCATTCCCCAACTCATCATGTTAGTCCTTTGGTAAGTGTAATAAACAGTTAAGAATACTTCCCGCTCATTGCCTGCAGTGAGTAATGATGTAAGTCTTTCAAATAAAGGCTGGACAATTACTCTTCAATGATATAAAAACAACAGAGATTGTGTTATTTTCCCCGTTGTTTCTGTTACCATGAATGACTCCTGTACCCTTATGTTGGAAGTAAACTACTGCACTGTGTTATATGCATGTAATTTGTTGCCCTATGTCATTCCTTTAGTCTGAGGTCCGTCTGCAAGAAAGCTCCAACATCTAAATATTCCAGCTTTACCTTAGGAAGAACAAATGCCTAATCGTTTAACATTACAGTATTAAAACAAACACCCAATCGTTATTAGCTCTTTGTATTCCAAATAAACTATGTGCAATCGCAAAAATTGTTCTAGCTACCAGAATGCTCTTTACACAATAGTTGCCTCCAACCAAAACAATAACTCCCAACATGAAAGTGCTTTATAACTACACAACTACTACTCTTTTCAGCGCACATACTGTTTCCCGGTAAAACTTTCATCCTGACAAATAACATTAACTTGATCCTTCTCAAGGCAGTTCCCAACACTTTCCACTGCTGTAATTTACCCAACACCTGGAGCAGTAAAGGTCTCGTAGAGTGCAGGTTAAGGTGTCACAACCACTCATAAGATCACACACACACACAGCAAACATTCAAATAAGGGTAATAGAGTTGCCCATTATCATTGTATCTGCTGATTCTGGTGATTTGTTGAGGCACACAACTAATTCAATATTATTTGGGTAAAAACAATCCATTGTGATTTTTTTTAAACAAAGTACAGTATGACTATTTCACAAGGTATACAAACTATACATTACAGTACTTGTCAGGAGCTCAATCTTAAGTTATCCTAGGAATACAGATAAATTCTACTGCAATCATCTGTTCTTGTGACATCGTAATAAACATAATAACCCATACTCAAATTTCTATTAAAAATACGGTGGTATGCACAAGGTAGCAATACTGTATAACACGGTGCTTCAGCCTGTATTGACTGGGTGCCTCGTAAGACTCCTTTATCAGACAACTCTCAAAGTTTCGCCTACATTCCACACCTTGAGCAAGCTATAACCTCTCTCAGGCATTACTCAACAGCTGAACATGGTTCTCGGATACACTTCCTGGGATGATTCACGCTGCTAATGGTGATCAAACAAACCCCGCACACGACTGGGAGGCCAAGTGACTTACCATTATTATAAGAGGGTGGGTGATGTCAACAAGGAAGCAGTAGGTACTTCCCCCAAAGCTTGAGAAGTGCAACAACCCGGCGTCATCACTGCCGCAGTACCTCACCACCACAAACCACGCTGCTCACTACTTCACCCGCTACCAACCTCACCATCACTTCAACAACCACATTTATCACTTATACGACAAGTCACTCGGTTAATAAGATAAGTGGGAAAAAATAAGTTTCGTTTATATTCGAACAGGACACGTGTACAACTCTTCTATGTAGAGGCGCAGGGATGAGGAGCAGGAGGGGGTTATGGTAGGTAAGAACACTCCCAACACACACCCAACGCAGGGTAGGACCGTACGAGACTAGTGCAGCAGCGGACCGGGAGGGTGGCAGGCCAGGCAGCTCCCGGGATGCGCCAACACACGCTTGTTGTCATCTCTCAGCTCCCCTGCTGCCGGCCGCACGATACACATCCCTTCGATTCTCCTCCCACCATTAGTTCATAATCTTATCAAACTTAAGTATATCGCAATAAACGGACCTAAATTACAAATTCTAGCCAAGTTAACCGTAATAACAATGGTGTGGTGACAGTACCAACTGGGTGTCGGCGGCAACTTGAACCACACCAACACCTGACCCCGCACGTGACAATTCAATTCTTCTATACCTGCTTTCTTCTATTTTTTTAATGTAAGAGTGTACTCGCGCACGCCTGCGTATTTTGTGGGTTTGTTTATGGCGATGAGTGCTTTTACGTGACGAATGAAGGAAGCAGAGATGGTATCGGAGTAGTTATCGGTAGCGAGATGACATGGTGATGACGTTACAAGTGGCAGTGGATTGGTGATGAAGCATAGTAATTTAAGTGGTGGTAACCTGGTGATGAAACATGATAGTAGAGTGGTAAAGATAACGAGTGGTGCTGATGAGTGATGACTAGTGCTGCACACCATGAGCACTTGTAAATCATACTCTGTGGTAATCAGTAAACACAAAGTGTAGCACAGGCCACAGCGATACTTACGGTACTAACAGAATAAAACCGACGTCAGCTGCATAAATTAATGTACACGTGGCTGGAAGCGGAAACGGTCAGTGGTGGTGGTTGGTGCAAATCCCGTTATAAGGCCACGAAACAGCTGATGTGTGTCGGAAGTGTTGATGCTGTTACACCTAATGGTATCACGCGCTACTGATTTTAAGTAAACATGACACAGCAAACACGATAACGCTAATTCTAGCTAATTCATCGCCGAAGCACCTTTATTGAGCCCCCAGTAAAACCTGACTGGGGCTGTAAATGGTCCCTGACTGATTAACTCCGTGGTCGAAGACTCAGAACCCGGATGGAGGGGCTGCCGTAAGAGCAAGTGATGGGGGGGGGGAGGGGAATGGGGACTCGGCCGTTGAGGTTGTCAATATTAATGGCTACGAGAGTGTACAGTACAGTAAGTTCCACGCCCATCAAACAACATACTCACCTCTTGAATTATTCATATAATGAATAACATGGGCTCACTTCATGGTGAAGTGGTCTATGGTGTACGTCTTTTATTCACGTTCAAATATTAAAATCCTTGGAATGCTTAAGAGCACAATCATAATCGGGATCACAGGCACGGGGCCCCGCCTTCCCAGTGCGAGTCATAAGATAGATACAGCACTAGGGTACGCGCCTGGCCCAAGAGGGTCATAACAGCGCCACTCACGACAATTTTTAATAAATACTTATCTTGGGAATTTGTCATTTCCTCTTGAGAGATGAACTTCAACGACAGGTATCGTCATAATCCTATATTGGTCAAGTTTAATTGAAATCTAAGCCCCCAAAATATAGGACTGGGCCCATCTGACCTGTCACCAGTGAGTGTTGACCTGAACAACAACTATGACCACCTTTTCTTGACCATGAACCCAAGTGTAAATGTCCCTTGATCCTCTACACACTCGGATTTTTACCTTCTACAGCTCCCAGGTGTAAGGACAGTGCAGGGTTAAGGAGGCAGAGACATCCTGTTTGATCTGCCAACATACTAGCTTACCCACCTACTTTCCCAGTAACCGAGGCGAGCTGAGTACAGTACTTTGGGTGGAGGAGTCCTTGAGGACCATGAGTAGTGCATGAGTCTGGAAATAAACAGTGAGGCCCAGATCTACAGACCATTTACAAATTGGAAGACTGCCATGACCCCCTTCCTGATCATCGGCCAAATAGCTGCCTCACACAAAATTTTAAGACTTTTCCCTTACGGCCATTTTCTATGCCACTCACAACTTGATAAAACAAGATTTCTCCCCAGGGTTTTCTATGACTGAGAACCCTGAAGCCGTAAATGGAGGCACGTTAGGCAACTCCCCGTATGTTTGATACAACTTTACCATCTTATATAACCTTCATTAAGATTTAGTAAAGATTCTGTCTATAGAAGATATGAACAAGTATGTCGCTTTCCACAAATGTTTTATAGCATTCTCCTCTAATACTCCTTACCCTCTTGAGGTTTCTGTACACACCGAAGTGGAAAAGGACTACATATAATAGGCACCGCTTACACAGGTTGTATTACTTTATACAGTATAAACCAAGGAAGGCCAACTTGACCATTCCCCCCTTCTCCCTCCACAGTCGGTCGGTCCCCAGAAAAAGGGTTGCACGATTTTTTCCCATATTTGGTACAAGTTTGGTATAAGATTTGCATGATGTCCGTCATATGATTTTCGCATTGGATAAAAACTGGCAGCGTGGAGGCCGTCTTTGTCTTACAAAAAGGTCCAAAACTGTAATTTCGGGAAAATTAGACTGATATGCATCACGTTGCCCTCAGGACCTATAACACCTGTCACAAATATGGAGGTAGATACGCTTACCTGTTTCTGCATTGCAGCTGCTGCTTGAAAACAAACGAACGGAAGAATGTATATACGTTAGAACAGACAGACGAACAGGTGAACGGATGAACAAATAAACGAAGGGACTGACGAACTAAAGTGCATAGGAATGAAGGTCAGTCGTGTCGTCTACACCAGACCGGTAAGGAAGCTGTGAACTTTCATATAACCGGTACAACTAGTCGACCATCTTAATACATCCTCCATCACAAGTGCCACATCTCCTGACACCAGTAACCGCCGTCAAAAAAAACCACCCAAGTCCAGATCAAGGAAATAACCGTCTTTAGTAATCATAATTATTGCATGCAGGTAATACAAACACCTTCATACAAATATATACGGTATGTGTTCATACATAATTAGAAACATACATAAAACATATTTTACGCCAGGATCATCATTACTTTTGGCCATGCAGCAATGAATGAACCAATATATTACTTAAAAAAATAATAATACTTACTCGGGCATCCAATAATATTTCGAAACACTAAAAAAGTATCCAATATCTGCATTCTAATTTACTGAACAATTACAATATACAAAATACCAAGGTCACACGTAAGTCACGAGCGACCTCATGAAGGACGCAGACTGCAGACATGTGACTGAGTTAATCCTACCCTCCAGATGATGACGTCACTAAACACTCATCAACGTGCTCCGAATTGATTCAAGGAGACCTAGAACACACACACACAAACACACACACACAAACACACACACACACACACTGCTTAAGAAGGTATAAACAAATGGCGAATGTGACCGACTATACCAAAGTTTATACACAAGTGACCAAAGGTGATGTTACCACTACAAACACGTGTACTGTCAATAAACAAAGAGTGACTGAACAGCCCACAACTTAATATTCGCTGTTGAGATGCATCAGCTGAATAAAAACACGAGTGACTTGCTGATACCAAAGAAGATAACACACACACAACCATCAACAGTATAGTCTAAAAATAATAAGCACTGAAGATAACAGAAAGCCACCGACTTGATAACACCTCATATTAAATGCAGAATGTGTAACGAAAACTACTAACAACAAAGAATAATGAGCATTACAGACGATCAAACTACACTACACCTCCATTCACAGGACGACACAAGCCACATAAACTCTATAAATAACTAATACATGAAGGTGTAGAAACTAATGTCATGTATACTGTATAAAACTTTTAAGGTTAAAGGTGTCTACTGTACTGTGGGTGAGCATATAACACCTACTACGAGTTTCTAGTTTCTTTATAAATATACAGTTGAGAGACGACACCCACTACAAAGACGGTATAGGAGATGTGGGAGGACAACTGAGTGAAGGAAACAAACCTAATATAAAGCTACACGCAGTCAGTATAAACCAGTGGGTGAAAAATGTTAGAGGATAGAAAGAAAGTCTGAGACATGTGAGAGGACATACACTTTAAGACATCTATCAGGGAGTCTATAAATAGAGGTGAGTACAGACAGCTGTTACGAGGATGTCCAGTATGGTCTATAAATAATGATGAATGTAGACCACTGTGAGAGGATGTCCAATATGGGCACTGTACCTATCACAGTATCTATAAATAAAAGTGAGTGGAGACGTCAGAGAGAGAGAGAGAGAGAGAGAGAGAGAGAGAGAGAGAGAGAGAGAAGGGTGTGGTGCGTCAGTGGAGAGCCAGCAGCAGCAGGCATGGGGGTGGGAGCCTTAAAGTGGCCAGGCGAGGGAACTAGTGTGTCAAGGGCTCAACCCCCAACTCGGGGACACACGACACACATCCTCAACAAATCCAGAGGTGCACTTGGCTCAATGCCCCACATAATGGTTACACGCATCAACAAATCTACACAAGGCTACTGGCTGTCCTGAGTTCATTAGAGATAATTTGTAATGGCTGGATACACCACACACATAAAACTTCTGATTTAGGTCAATCTTCTTTTATCCATAAGAACATCACGAATTAATTTTCAGAAAATTGATCTACATTACATTAGTCAATACATTTGATTTTAACCCTGGAAAGTAAATATTAATATACTGTATCTAGTTTGCTGAGTAATCTAGCAAATAGATAAGTATTGTTCACAAATATGGCGTTATACAATGTAAGCAAAGAATAGAGGAAGTGGACCAACAAGAGCGTCTGAAAACAGTAAAGTAAAACTGAACTGCCAGTCAACGAGAGCTGAAAAACATAGCACGCACACTATGACCCGTGCACACCAACCTCAGCACCAAGCAGGTAGTGGCTCCCTCAGATGCCTGCGACAGAGATCAAACACTGCTTCTGTAATGCCTGACCTAGACTCATATACTACTGGGACACGTCAGACCTCACTTCTGATTCGTTCCCAGATAAGCAGCTGCTAAAAAATATTATAATTTATTATTAAATGTTTGCAGTGTAAACGAAGATCAAATGAACGATGATTAATAAACCTGGCTGTTAAAGTCGAACTATTCTGAAA